TAAAATGATTATCCAAATGACAGATATATAGCGATTGTGTATCCATTGAAGCCCCGGATGTCTAAGAAGAATGCGGTTTCAATCATATTAATCATTTGGTTGTGCGGATCGTTGTTTGCTTTGCCAACACTTCTCTACTCGAAGACACTGTCGTATCGATACGCCAAGAAAGAGATCCGGACGCTATGTATTATGATATGGCCCGACGGTGTGGCCGGACAGTCACACTCCGACAACGTGTATGCAAAACAATATGCGAATCAATAACTTTTACTGATTAGCTGCTAATTAGTGTAATGAATATTTTGCAGTTATAACATATTGTTCCTATTGCTCACATATGTGGTGCCCATCGTGTCAATGGTGTTCACGTATACATTGATAGCGCGAGTCTTGTGGGGACACAAAGGGATCGGAGAGTTCACCGAATTTCAGAAAGAGTCCATTCGGTCGAAGAGAAAGATTGTGCGGATGCTTATGGTTGTGGTCGCTATCTTTGCCATTTGCTGGTCTGTCTCAGCCATACCTATAGCTCATAAAGCATTTATTAATAGTTTTATTAATATTGATAAAACTAAATAAATAGTGATTAATTAGTAAAAAGGGAAATGTCTCACATGTTTGTATTGATATCAATTGATAGGCTTCCGTATCATTTGTATTTCCTCTATACATACAAATTCCCAGAAGTGGTTCACTTGCCGTTCATTCAACACATTTATTTAGGTATATATTGGTTAGCGATGTCCAACTCTATGGTAAATATCACATCATTTTTTTGCTTTTCATGTCTTCATTAACACATAATTTAATTTCTACTTTTAGTATAATTGGATGATATACTGCTGGATGAATAAGAGGTACGCTTTCTATAAATGTTTCATTGATATAATGTACAAAAAGTAAATTTAGTTATGCTTTNGTCTTCATTAACACATAATTTAATTTCTACTTTTAGTATAATTGGATGATATACTGCTGGATGAATAAGAGGTACGCTTTCTATAAATGTTTCATTGATATAATGTACAAAAAGTAAATTTAGTTATGCTTTCTATTATAACCACTAGTTATAACTTCTCATTGGATTAGATTATATCAAATATAAAAATGACATTTTTACTCATAAAATCTTTGCTATAAAAAGTAACATTCAATTTGTCTCGACATAAGGGAAGTAAGCATTTACTCGTAAGTAAACATATAAATGAAAATAATTTATATGTTTACTATACTGTATAGTCTATACATGTTTAAGAATTTATAATTTAAATAAAATATCAAAAGTTATATATTTTTTAGTTTATAAAAATGCAGATATTGTTGGGCAAGAAAGACAGGAATTTTGAATAATATTTAAATCAAATAAATTTTTAAAATAACTTCTTATAAAAAAGAAATTTGGTGAAAATACAAATCTAAATGAAATTTTTGAATCATTTCTCTTTTTAAAAATAAGATTTATGTGTCTATTATTATAATATTCAATGCATTGGCTTTTGAAACCAAACACAAAAAGGTTTTTATTTGAAGTCTTTTATTACTTTTAAATATTTTTTCCAACTTTTTTTTGCAAATGTTTTGCATTAAATAATATTTTGTAAAAAATGTGAAATAGATTTTTAAATTATAAGCTAATAGTTTTTCGTGAAATTGAAATATAATCAAAAAATATATTAAAAACATAATTGAATGTGAAATTTGAATAAAGAAAAGAAAAAATTACTTCGTTGTTCATATTGCGATACTTACCTGTTATTAACACAATGTTAAATAATCAAGGTTCAACACATATTGTTTGATTATTTTTACAATAAATAATATGAACCAAAATAATGTTACTTTTTGTGACATTTAATTAATTATTTATTTATTATAGTACAGTATATCAATGATTTCAATCAATAATCACTCAAAGCTTTCAAAAGAAAATTGATTTGAGGAAAATTGCGATATATTATTGTTTCCAAACATTAATATTAATATTTGTCGGAAAGATAGACATCTAAATTACATGAATAAACTCAAAGGACTGGTGGCGATGGCGGCGACGATCAGCACATTTGATGAAAGCATTAATTTCACAAAAATCGTAGCACTTTTTTGACATTTTGAACACTTTTCTCTCACCAGACATTTGATATCTAAACATCATATAAATCTAAAAATTATAATTTCCTTTTAGAAATAACTTTCAATTTAAAAAACAATACAAAATTGCATTATATCCTACATCTCCGCAAATTTCATTTCCTAATAGTTTTTACTCATTAAATATTGAATAGTTTTATTATATTATACTGTATATCACTAATAATTAGCGATTTGTATTCTTATAGGTTTCGCAATTATTTCAAACAATACCTGTTTTGCTGCGCGAAGAAGGAATCCAATCAATTCTCGTCACAACAGAGGAATGGCTATTACACTAATAACACGAGGAGTCCCACAACAAGATATGATTTAATACAAATGTCTAATAATTTCAATTGTAATATCACTTCAATGCTTATGAAAAGAAGTTCTCTGTCGACAAATGCGAGGGAAACGCGAGCCTAATATCATTGTAAAGCTTTATATTATACTGTATTTCATATATTGTATTGCATTATTCATTACATAATATACATGATACAATTATATTATATAATTGTCCATATAATTTTGTTGGCATCATGTGTTCATTTGTATATTGTAACATATTTCTAATTATGAATCTTAACTTAATGTTATTAATTTAATTTTAATAATATTATTTGCATTTAATTCTAAAATGTTATAAAAGTTTCATAACTATTGTATGTGAATTGAAACACAAATCATAAATCAATCGATCATTTGGTCAATCATGTGATGAAAAAATAAAAAGCAAAGGATTCAGGAAATGATAAGAATCAGGAAATCTCTTACAATCGCTCGCAAAGAATAATGGAATCGACGATCAGTTTTAAAAATAGGCTAAAAGTTATATTTATTTTAGGAATTGAAAAGAGTTTCAATATATTCTGTTGAGATATATTGTATGTATCATTTGTTTCATAAGAATCTGAATGATTTTGCCAATTATTGTTCATTTTTACTTATATTTGTAAATAATATTTTATTCATTATCACATGTAAGGATATATTTGTTTTATTTATATCAGATTTTAAATATACGTCAATAATTGTAAGTCCAATATTTGTTTGACATTTCAATATTATAAGAAAGGCATCAATATTTTCAATATTTTTCTAGACTTTAAGTTCAAAGAATCAACAATAAGAAAGTGCTGCACAAAAACATTATTCAAATGCTATTATATATGTTTTATCTTAATATTTATTTAATGGCATTTTGTAGCGAGAGTTATGTCTATAAATTCCTCTATAGATTTAAATGTTAAATCTTTATATTGAAAAACATGGGATATGTTTAAATGTCCTCACTGGTTTGTTAACTAACATTTCCATAAATTCACAATTATTATTATCCTTAGTTTAACATTTACATCGATTATATATACTGTATACCGATTATTTAAAAACATGATTAAAAACCAAATTTATTGCCTTAAAATGTATAGAATATTCATTATAAACTATATTATATTAAAATACTTTTATAAAATTAGTTTAGAGATAATTTCCCACATATTTATTTCATAAATCACTTATAATTAAAGAATAGATTTTTTGTTTAAAAATAAAATCCAATTTTTACAGATAGAGCTCCGGAACAAAAATCCATTAACGGGTAATGCATTCTTCACATAAAAAGTGGTTGTTTTTGTTTTTTAGAAAATTAAATTGAAATTAAGTTTATCTTTTAATATTGACTTTTTTGGTATTTCATCACTAATTCCTAAATTCTCTATTTGTTTGTTGTGAAGGAAATTGTATTTTGTATCTAAAATAGGAACTTTTATTTGAAGGTTATTTGTGAAAGTATTTAGGGATATAAATAAAACGTGAATTACTGTCGTGAGCATGAATTGATTGTTAATTGTTTTGTGCTTGATTTAGCATATGGGTTTATATGAGAACTTTATACGTATATTGCCCATTATTATCGTATTAATCATATATTTTTATCTGTTAACATATTATAAAAATTATTATTATTATTAATTGTATTATATAACAAAATATAAATAAAAATATATAATGGATCGAAATTTTGTTTAAAAAAATTTATTCTTTGCTAAAATGTATATCAAATCATATTTAGTAACAAAAGTGTACATAATTTTAATAAATTGATATTTAAATACTGTATTGATTTTTGAAAAGTTTTCATTAATTATACCCATGTAACATGGGCCATGTTGTACCTAATACTCCACAATGTGGTTGATGTCATATAAAGTGCAAATATAAGTGAATTTCACAGATTCTTAGTCAGATAAAAACTACTTCAACTATATTATTCTTGTGACCATTTGATATTATTCTATAACTATTTTGACGTCCAAAATGAACTAAATGTCAACATTTATTATTAGATATAAATATTTAATTCATATTATCATATTTAAACATAGTAATATTATGTTGCTTGATAATTATTTATTTATAAACAATGTTGAATAGTATGTGTGTCACATACGATATATGCCAGAAAATATGCTTAATTTACATTGATTTGTGTTTTTAACATTGATGTATATTAATCGGCAAAAAGCATTTCCATTTGTGTTTTGTTTTCAAATGTCAAAATGTAAGACAAGTTTTTTGATACTATTGGCAGTGGATTGACATAAAGAGTAATTTGTCGCTTATATCGTATATTTTGTGTATAGAAATAATACAATTTCTTACAATTTGTCGGACAAATCAAACCAAAAGTAATCTATTATTAGTCACATATATATTTGGTATTGATTTGAGATACAACTCACAAACATATTGTAATTGAGAGTAACTTTTATTATATTAAAATTGATGCCATTCTGTAGTTTTATATACAGTAAAAGTATGCTTCAAACTCTCTCTCATATGTTGTGAAAGTAAATTACACTTTAGTTGTGATTGATTTACAGTTTTAGTGAAATTACATGAAATATGACCGAAAGGACACAAACACATCAGAAGGACTGGTGGCGATGGCACTGATAAGTCTATGGATAATGCTAAGTCTATGGCATAGGGATAACATGTGTA